TGTACAAGAATGCTCATAGCAGCATTATTCATAATAGTCACAAATGAAAACATCCAAATACCCATCACCTGATGAATGGATAAATAAAATCTGGTATATCCATATAATAGAATATTATTTAGCAGTAAAAAGGATAAATCTTGAAAACATTATGCTAAGTGATAAAGGCAGGCACAAAGGGTCACATAGTGTATGATTCCATTTATTTTAAATACTCAGAATGGGGGAATCTCTAGAGACAGAAAGTAGATTACCAGTGGTCAGGGACTGGGGGAGGCCGGTGGGGAATGACTGCTAATGGGTCGTTGTTATTAACAGCACTCAAGTGGATTCCAACTCATGGCGACCCCATGTGTTACAGAGTAGAACTGCTCCATAGGGTTTTCTTGGCTGCAATCTTTAGGGAAACAGATCTCTAGGCCTGGAGAGCCACTGGGTGGGTTGAATCCACCAATCTTTCAGTCTGCAGCCAAGTGCTTACCCTTTGGGCCACTGGAGATGCTTTGCTAATGTGTACCAAGTTTCTTTTGGGGATGATGAAAACGTTCTGAAATTAGCTAGTGGTGATGGTTGCCCAATTCCATGACCATGAATACAGTAAAAATCACTGAAATGTTCATTTTCAAAGGGTAAATTTTATGGCATATGAATTATATGTCAATAGTGCTGGTATTTTTTTTTTTTTTAAACTTTCTGGACGCTCAGGCAAAATGGTTTCCGCCTCAACCAGGATTCATGGAACGTGACGCTTGCGCAGCTCTTCTGGGTCTGCGTTCTAGGCCTGCCCCCGGTAAAGGACCCGTCGTCCGGGTCCTACTCCCCAGTAACGGACTCACCATCCGGGTCTTAATCCTCCCCTTATAAAAGGACTCCTCCAGCCTGGTCCGAGCCCCGCCATCTGCATCTGAACCCAGACTGTAGAGCCCACTGCCCGCGCAGAACCGCCCACCCTTGGTGTGCCTTGTGGACTCCGCCGCGCCTGCTGCCCCGACCGCCGCCAGCTGCACTCCACCCGCGCCCTCTTTGCAGCCACCTCACCTGCGCTGCCCACCATGGCGACCGCGCCATCGTCACAGGTGCGTCAGAACTACCAGCAGGAGTGCGAAGCTGCCATCAACCGTCAGATCAACCTGGAGCTCTATGCGTCCTATGTGTACCTCTCCATGGCCTTCCACTTCCACCGCGACGACTTGGCCCTGAAGAACTTCGCTGCCTACTTCTGGCGCCAGTCAGGCGAGAAGCGCAAGCACGTGGAGATGCTGTTGAAGCTGCAGAACCAGGGTGGGGGCCACATCCAACTCTGCGACATCAGGAGGCCCGACCTGGACGACTGGGGCAGCAGGCTCAACACCATGGAGCACGCCTTCCACCAGGAGCAGAGCGTCAACCAGAGCCTCCTGGACCTGCACCAGCTGGCCACCAACAAAGGCGACGTGCAGCTGTGTGACTTTCTGGAGAGTCACTTTCTGCACAAGCAGGTGAGGGCCATCAAGTAGCTGGGCAACCACGTGACCAACCTGCATAAGCTGGGGGGGCCCGGATGGCGGCCTGGCCCAGTACCTCTTCGATGAGTTCACCTTCGGCGACAGTGACAAGGAGAACTGAGCCTTAGCACCCAGGGACTTTCGTGGTCCCTGGTGCTGGCAAATATGCTGTGGTTACAACACGTTCACTTCTCTTTCTTTTCTCTTCCAAGTCTACCATTTCTTCCAATAAAGTGACTTGGTACCAAAGTTAAATAAATAAAAGTCTCCTGGTGATTCTTGTGTGGACAACACTCCCAACTTTGAAGAACAGGGCAAACCCCCATGCAGTGGTCCAGGAGTCTCCCCACCCACCCATGCCCCAACCTCATGCAGCTCGGGAACTCCAGAGGTGGACGGACGGACAAGGCATTTCAGGTGAGCCTGGAAAACACAAAATTAATCTTTTCCTTATAAGCAAGATTGAGTGGGTGGTGAGGGGGAGCGGGGGTTGAGGAGGAGGGGATGAGGGGGAGTAGAGTAGTACCTGGGAGTCTCCCCACCCACTCATGCCACAACTTCATGCAGCTCAGAATCTCCAAGGGTGAAGGGAGGGAACAGGTATTTAAGGTGAGCCTGGAATACACAAAATTTATCTTCCCCTTATAAGCAAGTTGGGGTAGGGGGGTGAGGTGGAGTCCGGGGAGTGAAATGGGGTGAGGGAAGAGGAGCTGGTTTCAGTAGGGTGTGTGGGGCGGTGCCTGAGTGCTGGCACGGTGTGCGTGGTAAAAGTGTAAAAACATGGCCTGGAATTCATGATAGTGTTTGTCTCTGAGATGAAATGAAGGAAATTAGATATAGTAAGGATCAAAATAAAGGGGACTTCCACTTTATCTGTAATCTTTTATCATGGTCACCAGTGATAGGCTTACTTGCTGTGGTTACAAAATATCCACTTACATTTTCTTTGATTTTTACCATTTCTGCCAATACAGTAATTTACTACCAAATAAATAAATACATAAAACTCAATAAAAAGGCTAAAAATTATAAGGTCATGGCTGAAGGTCAAATGTGTGATTTGAATATAAAATAGAATAAATCTCCCTAAGTACAAAGCCGGTGACTCTGGCTACTTTGAAGACTATTGAGGGAGGGACCCACCTGGATGTCTACAATTTAAAGAAAACAAACAAATTATCAAATGTTGGCAAGGATGTGGAGAAAATGGAGCCCTTATCCACTGTTGGTGGGAATGCAAAATGGTACAGCTGTTGTGGAATTGCTGGATAGTGGTGGTTCCTCAAAAACTAAAAATAGAACTACCATATGATCTAGCAATTCCACTCCTAGGTATACACCCAAAAGTTTTGAAAGAGAGACTCAGACAGAGACTTGTACACCAATGTTCATTGCAGCACTAGTCACAATAGACAAAAGGTGGAAACACCTAAATGCCTATGAATAGATGAATGGATAACAAAATATGGTACATACATACAATGGAATACTATACAGCCTGTAGGAGAAATGAAGTCTTGATACACGCTACAATATGGATAGAGCTTGAAGACATTATGCTGAGTGAAATAAATCAATTGCAAAAGGACAAATATTGTATGACCTTACTTATATAAAAAGACAAGAAAAGGCAAACATATAGACACGAGTTTATTAGTGGATACCAGAGGTAGGAGGGAGGTAGAAAGGGGGCCGGGTGTCGCTTATGGAGTACTGAGTTTCAGTTTACAGTGATGGAAAAATCACACTGATTAAGGATAAGGTGGCACAGCCCATGACTGTAAGTGTTGTCAATCAGTTGTACACCTGTAAAAAGTTGAATTGGCAAAAATTGTGTGATAGACATATTTACAAAAAAAAAAAAAAAAACTGAAGCTGCTGGGCTGCTTATGTACAATCAAATACCTCATGGGAATTGGTTCCTTGGTTTGGAGGTTTAAGGTCATGGTTTCATGGGACATCCTAGTTAATTGGCCTAATAACGTGTTTAGTGCTTCTGTTCTGTCTCCTAGTTCATTGCATAGTTTTTGGGATCTTAAAAGGCACAACAGTTGGTCTCTATTTACCTGGAGCAACAGAAGAAGAAGGAGAATCAGGAAGAGGAGGAGGAAATGGAATGTGTGGTTAACTGCATCCGTGAACAACTGTCTTCTTTGCAACCAGACCGAAAGAATTGGATGGTGCCTGATTATCACTACAGAACATTCTGATCAAAGATTCTGTAGAAGAATCTTGGTCAAAGGGGAGGAAATGCATAATAGAATTTCAAATCCTCATGGACTCCAAACTTTCTGGAGCCATGCAGGCTGGATGGACCCCTGAAACTACTGCCCTGAGATAATCTTACAACCTTGAATCAAAAATACTCCCTGAAGTCTTTTTGAAACCAAACAATAGTTTAGCTTAACTAGTAAAACATGTCTTCCTTGAGCATTATGCTCTTTTAATAACAATCTACATGAATCAAAAATACAACAGCAACTCAAAAGTTTAGATAGGATCCTTGGGGGCAGTGAGTTTTATGTTAATGAAGGAGGAACAACTCAGAAAAGGAGGGTGAGAATGGTTGCACAACTTAAAAACTGTAATCAATGTCACTAAATTGTACATGTAGGAACTGTTGAATTGGCATATGTTTTGCTGTGTATATTCTCAACTTCTTAACAACAAAATAAAATATATATATATATATGGGGGGGAAGAAAGGAAGCAGGGACCATTTAGGAGACGTTGCACAGATTCAGGTGACGAGAGGCTGATGGCTGGAACTACAGTGGTGGCTGAGGAAACGTAGAGACGTAGACAAATTCCAGATAGATTTTTGGACACATCGACATGATGTGCTCATGAACTGGAGGTGAGGAATGGGGGATGGGGAAAATAATCTAGTTTCTGGGGTTTGGCCTTGAGCACCTGGGCTGATGGTGGTACTATTTATTAATCTGAGGACGATGTTTGCAGGGGCACCTGGGGTGGAGAGGGGGAAGGTATGTCCTATAAAATCTGAGATGCCTACTATACATCAAGTGTGATGTCCTGCAGGTAGCAGGAATTGGATCTGGAGCTAAGGAGGTGGTCTGGGTTGGAAATATACGTATAGGAGACATCAGTGTTGAGACATTGATGGTGTTGAGGTCATGTGACAGGACAAGCATCACCCGAAAGAGAGTATGGCACATCAGCCCAAGGCCCAGGACAGCTAACATGTAGAGGATGGTTTGAGGTGCCTGAACACCTCATTCCAGTCTGACTGGCCCCCAGTGTCCCTTCCAAGTGTATCCCCAAATCAGCCTGTTCCTGACCTCAGTGGGGCCTCTGGTTTCTCCTTTCAGGATGTGGAGAAGACGTAGCTATTTTTCCTGTCTCCCGTGGTGAGGGGGTTAGGTAGGATAGGGGGTGAGGTGGAGTGGGGTGGAGTGGTACCTGGGAGTCTCCTCACCCACCCACGCCCCAGCCTCATGCAGCTTGGGATCTCCACAGGTGGAGGGAGGGAAAAAGTATTTCAGTTGAGCCTGGAAAACAAAAAAATTAATCTTCTCCTTATAAGCAAGGTGGGGTGGCGGGTGAGGGGGGTTGGGGGCTGAGCAGGGGTGGAGTAGTACCTGGGAGTCTCCCCACCCACTCATGCCCCAAACTCATGCAGCTCAGAATCTCCAAGGGTGGAAGGAGGGAAAAGGTATTTCAAGTGAGTGTGGAAAACACAAAATTAATCTTCCCTTTATAAGCAAGGTGGGGTGCTGCTTGGGTGACTACTTGCATAAAAGGATAAAAACATGACCTGGAATTCATGATAGTGGTTGCCTCTGGGGG